ACACAAACACCATGGGAAAAAAATAAAAAAAAAAAAAAAAAAAAAAAATCGACAAGTAGAACTTCTAGCAGTGGAGTACTGTGTGAAGAGACTTCTATCTGGTTAATTTTCCTTTCTTCTTTTTTTAAAGAATTATTTACTTCTATTTATTTATTCATTCATGTATTTTCATTTGACCAGAAAAAGATAGAGTTTTTTTGGGGGGGCCAGCAGGTGGTGTGGTTAAGGGCTAGACTCTCACATGGCTGACTATGGTTCAATTCCTGGACCTGGCAGCTTGCTTTCTCACTTTTCCTTTCTTTCTCTCTCTCCCTCTGTCCCTCTCTGGTCAAATTAAAACAAATAAATAAAGTTAAATAAAATAATTCTTTCTTTTTTCGGAGAGGTTTTTGCTATAGGGTGCGTGTGCTCACCAGACAGACAGAGAAAGACAGAGAGACAGAAAGCAAGAAATCACCCCCAGGGTGCCACGCCGCAATCCCTTCTCCTCCATTTTCCTCTGGGATCTTGGGCACGCACGCACACGTGCCCGGCGTGAGTTTTAAGCCACCAAGTCCGGGACACAAACTGCGGTCGACTACGTGGGAGTCCAGTGACATAGCCATTACGCTAACTGCTGGTTCCCAGCCAGTCCCTGATTGTGAAGATTCCAGGGTGGGTCAAGCCCCGCCTCAGGCCCATCATGCGCCACTGCCTTACCGTAGTCTCCCTAATAAAGTCAGAGGAGGAAACGAAGAGTCGGCCATGGCTGCCCCGCACAGACTTCTGGGAGGATGGTGGGGGGACGAGAACTCCGTGGAAGGTAACCCAGACAAGGACCAGAGAGTCTCAGAGGACCCAGGAGCCAACATCCAGAGGACGGGGCTCCCTGAGAACAAGCACCTCACAGGAGAGCTGGCCAGGGTTTAGCAGAAGTCCCAGAGGATCCCAAAGGTGGCGCTGGTACCCGATGACCATCCTGACAGTGGCCGTCTTCATACGCCACCTTCGCAGGCGCTGGCCCACTGACGTTAACAATTGCAACATTTCTTGTGCATCTACTGGGAAAGGCATGCCCCATCTCTCCCCTTCTGCTATCGTCATGGCAACCCTATGCCTGTGGTGGTCCCTATTACTCCACTTTACAGACATGTAAACTGTCCTTTTTTTTAAGTCACCCACAACTTGGGGCATCCCCCAGATCAAGCCAGCTGTGGGGCTGGGGTTGAAGGTGCTGAGTAAAGACAAGCCCCATAGCTGCGGCAGCCCCAGGCAGACCCGGATGACCACAGCTAAGCATCGGGTATTACCGTCGTTGCTTGGCTTCCCAAACCTTCCAGGTTCATTCGGAAAAATGAAATATGGAAACCACTCATTTTTTAAAATTCACTGTCTTAAACCTTATGATTAGATGGAGAAAGTCCCTCCTGCAGACCCGCCTCAGTGGAGGAGCAAGGTTGTAATGCTTTTTAGTCATTGTGGGACCCAGCCCCATTTTGCAGGTGAGAGAACTGAGACTCTAAGAGGTCACGTGACTGGTCCAAAGCTGCGTGTTTAGAGTGGGTTTGGGGAAGCTGAAGCCATAGGCCTGGTTTTATTCCCCCTCTTCCAGGATCTTGCAGCTGGTTACGAAGGAACGATTTGCACGCCGGTGTGCAAGTGTCCTTGTGATGGGGTTAATGGAACCCTCAGGCCACTTAGCCTGCCATAGCCCACCCAGCCCCTTCCAGGGACCCCTGCAGGCCTGAGCTGGAGCAGGTAGCAGGACCCCAGAGCTGCAGGGAAGAAGGGGACAGTCCAGGTATAGGCCAGGGTCACAGAAAAGGGTCTTGGCCTGCCCGGAAAGCTCAGAGAGCTGCAGCATCCCAGGAAGCTGTTCTGCATCCGTGTTCCCTGTCCACTGTGTGTGAGGAAGGGACTTGGGGCTCTCCATAATCCAGCTGAGGAAGTTCTCACAGCAGCCCAGGCAGCCAGGCCAGGGGTGGGCACCAGGGAATCTTGGTGGGACCACGTCCGAAGCAAGCCGCCGCCTTCCATTTCATCACGTCCTCAGCCAGACCTTATCCCCCATGATGACTCCTAATTGCCCCACCAGCCTCCTCGTTCTCCTCCCTACTTCTGTCCAGGTGGTCCCTGAGTGCTGCCCACCTAGAGGGACCTATCTCCCTGGCCCGTCATCCAAGGCCTCACAGGGTCGGCCACATCCTTACTCCCGTAAATCCCAGCCACCCCGCTTCCTTTCTGCCTCAGCTCTCAGCAGGGATGGAGACCTCTGCCACACTCCCTGTAGGGCTCAGGAAGCTGTGTCACTTCCCTGGGTCTCAGTTTGCTCACCGGGGAAATAGGAGTAGGTCTAGTCCCTGCCTCATGGTGGTCATGAGGTTTAAACACAGTCATGCGCCGAAAGCCCTTCGCACTGGGCAGAACTTGTATGACGCCGCCTCCGAGCCCTGCTGCCGGGAGTACGGTCGGTCGTGGGGAGGTGGGGACTTGAAAGCCCCTGCAGGGCCTTCCCGCCCAGCCTGGAGGCCCATCAGCTCGCGACCAGTGGGGACCAGTGACTGCAAAGAGGCGGAGACCAAAGCGATCCTGAGGGCCCTAGTGGATCTCCGCCCTAACTGATGGGTGTTTCAGAAGCAGCCCCTGTGCACCAGTTAGTGCTCGGGGAAGGTCCCTACCCTGGTCCTTTGGTTCCACGCGGGTGTTTCAGAAGCAGCCCCTGTGCACCAGCTAGCGCTCGGGGAAAGTCCCTACCCTGGTCCTTTGGTTCCACATTGTGGCAGACTTTTCGGTGTAAGTTCCATGGGCGGGGGTTTTATCTGGCTTGTGCCTGTTGGTGGCTTTCCGGATTATTGGTTGAATGACCAGTGTCAAGTTCAAACAAAAGGAACAGTTTAGAAAGGGCCTGGGACTGCTTCCTCTTACGTGGGTAGTCAGGGATGGCCTCTCAGAGGAGGAGACGTTTGGGCAGAAGCCTGGGTGAAGTGAGTAAGCACCTGCTGAGGGCCACGCCTGGGCCCAGTTCTCATGTGGACCAGATCACTCAGTCCTCACAGTAACACCCAGAAGTCTGTGGAGCGTTCGCCTTGGTTACAGATGGGGAAGCCGAGGCAGAGGTGACGCGGTAGTCACCGCTGAGCCACGGTCTGGCCCAGATTCTTGCCCTCTCTCTGGAACCTAGGCCAAGGCTGCAGCTCTGTGACAGCCCCAGAAGGGCCTCCTGGTCTTTTGCCATGTGGACATCAGGCCCCCAATGACAAGGGTGTCAGATGAAGCCTCTCTCGTGGTCCCTGACGACGCCGAGACCTTGGGTTTGCTATAGTTGGTGGATGGGAAGGCCCAGGCTGGGAGGGCGCTCAGGGCTACTGGCTGGGGAAAAAAGCCCCCCTGCCGCTCCCAAACTTCCTGTGTCTGACCGGCAGGTCACAGGCGAGTCAGCCATCTGTCCTTGCCAGCCGGCTTTGCTCTGGGGCCCTGGGCCCTTTCCTACAGTCACAAAAAACAGCTCCAGGGACCAGCAATTAACATAATGGCTATGTCGCTGGACTCCCATGTAGTTGACCGCGGTTCGCGTCCCGGACCTGGTGGCTTAAACTCACACTGGGCATGTGTGTGTGCGTGCCCAAGATCCCAAGAGGAGAATGGAGGAGAAGGGATTGCGGCGTGGCCATCCCCCCTGGGGGGTGATTTCTCACTTTCTGTCTCTCTGTCTCTCTGTCTTTCTGGTGAGCGCACACACCCTATAGCGAAAACCTCTCAAAAAAAAAAAAAAAAAACCCCCCCCGGAGGGGCCCCAGCCATAAGGAGGGGCCTGGGGCCAACGGCAGAGGCCGGTTCTGGCTGCAGGATGCGGCAGCTCATTGGGGCTCAGCCTGTCTCCCTCATCAGCTGTGACTTTGTGGGGTGGTGGCAGGACCCTTGGCAGCCATGATGGTTGAAGATGGAAGTGCCTCCTTGTCCCATTTTACCAGACCACAGAGCTCAGCCCCCAGACGAGGATCGCACCGTAACCTTCGTCAGCCTCTGCACTGGTGTTTCCCCACGCCAAGCCGCTCCACCTTTACGGTTCTTGGAAACAAGGACTGTTGTCCCCTCTCTTATTTTGCACATGGAGAAACCTCAACCTGAGGTGTGACCTATTCATGGCATTCGTTTGCTCAGTCATTGAAAAAAGGTTCAGGGCCAGCAGGTGGCATGGGGACTAAGATGTTGGACTCCCCCATAGCCAGCCATGGTTCAGATCTCGAGTAGCTTCGAAATCAGGCCAGATATGTGCACGTACATGCCCAGAATCCTGAGAGGAGACTGGAGGTGAAGGGATTACAGCATGGCATCCCCCCGAGGGGGTGATTTCTCACTTTCCTTCTCACTCTTTTTCTCTGTCTCTCTCTGGCAAGTGTGTGTGCCCTATGACAAAATCCTGAAAGAAAGAAAAGGAAGGAAGGGAGGAAGGGAGGAAGGGAGGGAGGGAGGGAGAAAGGAAAGGAAAGGAAAGGAAAGGAAAAAGAAAGAAAGAAAGAAAGAAAGAAAGAAAGAAAGAAGAAAAGAAGAGGGAGGGAAGGAAGGAAGGAAAGAAGGAAGGGAGGGAGAGAAAAGAAAAGAAGAAAAAAGAAAAGGAAAGGAAAGGAAAGGGAAGGAAAGGGGGAAAAAACGTGCTGAGCATCTACTAAGGGTTCTCTCTGCCAGGCTCCCAGCTAGTCTCCCTGGGAGGCCCAGGGCTTTCCCAGTGCAGAGCCAAGCTCCTGGCCACATGCCGGGGCCCCTCCTGCTTCTTTCTATGCCCAGGAGTCAAGCCCCTTGTAGGCCGCCCCCCATCACACCTACAGTACTCTCCACTCTCGCTCTCCCCCCCCCACCTGCAGGAGAGCGAGGATGCAGTCAAAGCCCTGGCCAAGGAGAAAGACCTGCTGGAGCGTGAGAAATGGGAGCTGAGGCGTCAAGCCAAGGAGGCCACGGACCACGCCACGGCACTGCGCTCCCAGCTGGACCTCAAGGACAACCGGATGAAGGAGCTGGAGGCTGAGCTGGCCATGGTGAGAGGACTTCCCACCCAGGGCAGGGCCTGGGCATCTGGCAGCCGTGATGTGTCAGCCAGGGCAGGTGGAGCGGGCAGGGGAGCCGGGGGCAGGGCCTGTGATGTTCCATAAGTTTCCCACCAAGGCCACGTGGGCCTCCGCAGCCCCAGAGCCTGGCCGGCCTTTGGTCCCCCAGCTTTGGGCCCAGGGGTCCACTCTGCTACCTTCCCCTGGCTACTAGTAAGAAAGAAAGAAAAATCTTTCTTAGAATACTCGTATTTATTTTGGAAAATATCAGGGAAGAAATACACCAGAATGTTAACATGAGTATCTTGGGGTGATAGAATTGCAAACGGCTTTTTTTCCTTTGGCCTATTGTTATACACACCTGCAGCGAAGATGTCCTACTTGGTCAAGCGTTAGTCCTCATTCGCGTCCTAACAGAAATACAGGACTGGTGATTTGATTTATAGAGCAGAGAGTTATTTAGCAGATGATTCTGGTGACTGGGAAGCCCAAGCCATGGGGCAGCATCAGGCCAGCTACATCAGAGTGTGATGGGGGCGGGAGCTTGAGCAGAGCAGAGTGTGGTCTCTCTGTCTCATTTTCTCTCCATAAAAAGCCGCCAGCAATCAGTCATGGGGGGCCCCACCCTAACAACCCAGTCTCTAATCTGCCCCCAAAGGTCCCACCCTTCAACACCTTGGGCTGATTCTGTTTTTACCTCCTTAGTCCCATCAAAATCTCCACACAGGAACTTGGTTTGAATTTGGGTACATCCAAACCATGGCAGATCATCAAGGTGAAAAAATGTGTTAGTGTTTCTAATCCAAAACAACTCTCAGAATATTCCTAAGCACTTTGTTTTCTGAGCAGGCGTGCAGCCTCCACGCCGGGGCTGAGAGCCCAGGGGTCTGGTGGGGGAACACAGGCCCAAAGCCGTGGAGTTCCATTTTGTCTGTTCCTGGGCACCCTGGGACCACTCCCTAAACTTTCCTGTGCCCTTCATTTGTTACTAGGGTAGGGATAGGGTGACGGTCTGAACCCCACCTTGCCTTCCACACAAGTGGGTACATCCAGAGGCTAGAAGGGCCTTTGAAAGCGGCCAGGGGCTCAGTGCGAGAGCACCTGGAAGAAGAATATACAAAGATCTGAAGAGCAGGGACGCCCACAGGGCTCTTAGAGGATTCATGGCTGACAGTGTGATGACAGTCTTGGGTTCTGGGTTCAAATTCAGCTCCCAGCACTTCCTAGCTGTGTGACCTTGAGTAGGGCCCTTCACTTCTCTGGACCCCAATTGCATCAACTGTAATAGGGATGATTGTGTGTCCTCCATAGGGCTCTGGTGAGGACTTCAATGAGATCATGCAAGGGAGGCACCTAGCACGGTACCTCTTTGTGGTAAAAGATGACACAATGGTTTGCTAAGGTCACTTGCTGTGGGAACAGGCCACCCAGGGCAGGACAGGATCCACAGGCCTCTCCTGAGTCTCTCTGTCCAATGCTGACCCCTAGCGGTGAGAGCTGCCCAGGCAGGAGGAAGCTGCTGCTGCAGGATCCCCTCCCATGAGTGGTTAGTGGTATTGCTGCCAGCCGTGGTACAGATGGAATCCTTTCCAGGCACAGACCAGGGAGAGGTCTATACCTGTCTCCTAGCCCTGGAGCACTGGCCTCTGGCATCCTGAGAACTTCCGGGTCTTTGTGGATCAGGAGCCACCTCGTCTCGACTTCCCATCCCACCACATCTAGCGCCCAACCCGCTTTGGTTCTGGTCAGCAAAACTCCGGTTCTTTTCTCCTCTTTTTGGCAGGCATCAGACCCTCTGCTAGTGAGAATGTCGGCAGCTGAGAGTGCTGGCTTGTTGTCATCAGCACAGGCGGTGTCCACCCAGCGTGCCGAGGCTAGGGGGCTTTACTTACAGCTGTGTTAGGGGGGTTTACTTACAGGTACCCCATCTTCTTAGGGTGCCCACATGACCGCAGCCCCCGTTGCTCATCCAGCACGGAGTTTCACCACCAGAGCTGCCCGCTCCAGGCTGCACTGACGGCAGACCCATCTCCCTGCACTGCACGCTGACCAGGACAAGACGGAGGGGAGGCAGCTTCCCCGGGACGCGCCCTAAATCCTGAGGTTGTTAAAGAGTCTGTCTCAGGGTCAGCAGGCGCTGTGGTGGTTAAGGTGCTAGACTCCCACGTGGCCAACCAGTTTGAGTCCTGACCCAGCAGCTTGAATATCAGACTGCGCATGTGTGCACAGATGCCCGCAATCCCCCACCCCGGGGCGTAATTTCTCACTTTCCCTCTCTCTATCTCTGTCTCTCTTCAGTGAGCACATGTGCCCTATGGCAAAAACCTAAAAAAATAGTTAAAAGGTCTGTCCAAAGGGCCCATCTTGGGTAACTGTCTTGCCCCATACCTTGGGGTCCTGGCTGTGGCTATGCGGATGACCCACAGAGTCTGAGTGGTGAGCTGGGGAGCTGGTACTGAGCTGGCCAGGTCACTCCTGCCTGTGACACTAAGGCCATGGGGAGGGAGGAGCTGGAGAAGGGACCAGCATTCTCCTGGGAGGAGCCAGCTCAGGTCTCTCCAACATGGCGCAGCTTCACCTGAGGAGACGCCAGAAGCATCTGCTTCTGCAAACGTGTCCCAGGAAGTGTGTGGCACTGAGGGTGGGCACCATGCAGCCACCTGCCCCTGGTGAGGGGACACCTTCTGATAAAAAATAAACTCACTGGGGCCGGCAGGTGACATGGTGGTTGAGGGTGTTGGACTCCCACATGGCTGACCACAGTTTGAGTCCCGGACCTGGTGGCTTGCTTTCTCAGTTACCCCCCTCTCTCTCATTCTCATTCTGGTCAAAATAAAATAAAATAAAATAAAATAAAATAAAATAAAATAAATAAATAAATAAATAAATAAATAAATAAAAATAAAGTTAAATAAAAGATTTTTTTTTTTT